TGCTATGACGGCCAACAAATTAGGGCTAGAAACTCAATGAAGCTATGCAGTCTGCATCCACAGGCACCGAGAAAATTGTCTGGTTGCGTGCATACAGCATGCCTACGAAATGGTTTTTATGTTTTGCCTCACTTCTATCACGACGTCGAAAAGGCTGGATTTTGCAGCTGTGACCATGCTAAAAGAGAAAGACAAGAGTGAGAAGACCAACTAATTCTTCACATAGAATTATTTAAAAGAGAAATTGGCAGGTGCATGCATTTCGCCATCACCTCAATGGAGCACTGTACTGTGGGGTAGAAACAGATCGAAACATGCACTAATGCCATTTTCAGCCCACTCACCCTATTCTTCAAGTTATCGCTTTCGTTTTGAACCGAAATTTCTCAGCCGCGTACAGGTTAAATTATTATTGACAAATGTCGTACTAGGCCCGTGCTGTCACTTCTTAAACCCCCGCAGTTTTGCACCTTATCCCTCCTTATTTACTCGTAGATATGTCTCTGAAATCCATCCATTGCGAGCCACGAAGAAACTGAACTTCGGAACACCCAAAACAACCTTCCTGTTCTACCTATAACAACAGGCCGAAGCCGAATTGACGTAAGAGCGCTCAACAATAATCCGTGCTTTAGGAACTTTTGTTAAGTAGCTTCTGCTACCACAAAAAATGACGGAGTAATAGGATGATATTAATGCAAGGAATTGAGCTAAATTTTTAGTATTATGAAGCTGTGAAGATCAGGTTTGCAGTGAAATGAATATAATCTACCGATTAAAGAAAACGAATGCTTTTAAACGTTCACACTTCTTATGAGACACTCTGCAGGAGATAAGTAATGTATACCACCTACAGCGGCTCGTCGATCAGCGATACGACCAGCAGTCTGGGAACAAGAAAAAGAAACGAATTAAAACGATGCGGAACTTCTCATAAGGCCGTAAAGTCAGCGTGACCAATTGATCAAACCGAGAATTGGAGTCCGTAACTCCACAACCTAAGTATGGCACTCAAATACGTATTTCTTCAGTCCTCATCTGATGCACGAGTTCATTGGGGCCCTCATGCTCATTGAAAGGCGCGGAGTACATGATTAAAAAACAAAGTAGTTCGAAATTTGAAACAGTGCATTGGATTGGTGATGCAAATATCAGTTTTACCGATGACGACTGAAGGTCAACCAATCAAGAAATAGTTTCAACAAAAGAACTGCTTGAATAATCTGACAATTTCTACCCAACACTAACAACCAGTAAAACCGTTCACCATACTCTTCTCTACACAAAATATACGAAGGGTCCAGACATGTGTGACGATGGTTTTAAACACTACCTGCAAATATACGGCTCTATTAATCTATTGCCAGTGGAGATGACATACAAAACAACTCGATTACTCTAACTGTAGTTTGCACATTGGTGGTATAGAGTAATCCACTGTCATGGATGTCTGTTACCACGTCTTGTTTTGTTCATGAGCCTGCTAGTTGATGTTAGCCTGGTATACTGGTAGTTGACAAGTTGGTCAGTCTTCAAGTTCATATCCCTAAGTACATTCTCGTTGACAGCCCTTGTACGAAATAGACGACGGGTACACGCTGCAGACACAGGTGCGGAGTGCTTTAGACACTAGTCAGGGTCTCGATATGGTTGGCCCCAGTTTGAACTGATGACTAGAGACGAGTAACGGGTCGCCTTGGCCTGAATTCTCCGAAGAGCGACGTCCTCCTTTCATTCAGAAAAAAAGTGTCGACGAGGGAGTAGGCACGCGGATGAATGCGGTTACGCTTGTCCTGCAGAAGATTCACTATATAGTAAAATGAACGACAAAGCCAGGTTTCGAGGGATGTGATGACAAAAACTGGGCATTGAAGTTAGCAAGCTTACTTTTTTTATTTCACTGGCGACTACATGATGACGATCGCGCATCTACACTCAGTGCACAATATCCTCTGATAAGTCAACTCTCAGGACGACTTATTAACAAATATACCTACTTCAGAGAGAGTACTAACCGAATTGAATGGTACCGCGGATTAAGTATTCCTGGTGCTTGTTAGCCGATGAAATACTGAAAGTCTGGAGTGTGAGACGATCCATTTTTTTTTCATCAGTCGATAACTAGCCCTACGATCTGTTATAGTGCACTGTAACAGAAGGAAGTTCTAATGCAAAACCGAAAGCTCTCGCAAAGACAGATAGATATGTATTTGAAATAAAAAAAACTTTATAAATTTAATTAAACACAGGGGAACTGTTGCGTCTTAATTAACAGCATTATATTTTCTCCCGTTTTTAGCACATTTATTGCTACAAAAAACAGTTATCTTCCAATATTCATCAAGGCTAAACATGGCCGATATTCCTCGCTCAAAAGGAAGCACAAAATCGCAAGAATTCAAAAATACCACATGTGAAAGACCCTATTGCTCTGTTGACAGTACATAAAAATGCACATTCCTTTAATTTTGTGGATTTCTTAGCAGAAAGCAGAAGAAACTATGTAACAAAAAAGCATCATGGCTGTATCCGAACTACGTTTATATTTTTTTTTCTTTTCGTTTTGACTGCACGCATTTCAACATGTTCACTGCGTCACCGCAAGCCACCTTCTTTGCAGCACGAAACGGGTATCAGAGCAGGAACAGAAAACTATAAATGCGGCTCGTTCTGTATGTCGCCCTCCTCCCCTCTTTTTCTGTTCTTTTCTACTGTAATACGGGTGCGTTGTGAACGCCATCAGATACATTGTCACCGACTGATTTCGACCCTTTCGCAGTCGACTAGAGAGTTCCTTGCGGAAATCGGCGAGCCGATGGAGCTAGAATTATTGCACGGTTAATTACGTTCACTCTGAATATATGCGTCTCAATCAATCTCGGGTGAAACAATGGACTCCGGAAGAGGTGTTCGCATGCTAATATCAAAAGACAGGTTTTTACGCAGTACCGCTTCGCAAATCATTGGATTTAATGACTCGTGATCTGCATCTACAAGATTAAGTGTTAGACCATTCGCAACTCCATGTTTAGTGCTACGACAGAGAATATTCTAGCCAAGTATATATAGTTTTACTGCTGCGCCACATTCACTCACGTGTTTGAGACACGCTGCGCAGCTGCATTTAACCAACTGTCTTGCACTGGAATATCCCCCGCCAACAACGATACGTTGAGCTGAAATCCTACCCCATCCCCTACCCCAGCACAAGTCTCACGTAAACAGAATACACCAAGCAATCGAGTCCGTTTAGTTTACTAGAGAAAAAATAGTAACCAGTGAGCAATGCATGTCGTTATTTTACAGAAAATATCACTCACGAAAACTGCGTGCGTCGTTCTACGATAGTGACGTATGCATTTCTCGCGCGAGCCTTCGATACCCGCGTGCGCAGTGCGTCATCACGCTAATGTCATAAAGACGAGGAACGCTTACGTCTGTGCGTGGCTTGCTTTACGACAATAATTACGCATTCAGCCCAAGGAAGTAATACGTCATCACAGTCTGAGACAAAAGAAGACAGCAGCAAAGACCCCTGGCGACGTCAAAATGTTGACTTTCGAACACAAATGCACCATGCGTACCTTGCTGCTCAGCAGCGATTCAATAATACAAGTATAGTAGCTGCCTATAAGCCACACGAATGCCACGCATAGTATAGCTGCGTAGTAAGCCGCAAGCAAACCACTTGCAAATATTTTGAGGCTGCGTTGTCCATGACACTTCCACTGAGACGCTTGGTTACTAAAACTGAACTCAAGTACAATGGCCACTCCATTACTCCTGTTTTCTCAATCGCAACTGTGGCGCAGGAATAATAGTAAGCCAGTAAACTTTCAGGTATATTATGCTCATTTGTGGGGACCTTATTCATAAACTAGTGGACGTATAATATCACTGCTATAGAATGCGAACGTGGCACTAAAAATTGGAAACTTATGATGTCCACTTGAATGACAAAGCATTCGACCACTGAGAACTTGCTTATTGTTCTGTGTATATTACATACGTTTTATAGAAACGAAACAAAACTGAGTGAATTTGTTGCCCATAGAAGTTTCGCTCGTTACGTAAAAATTGTTGTAAAAAGGTTTCTACGCACAAGCCAACCAACAATGATTTACTTCTCAGTGCATTTAGAGCAGTAACCATGTCCACAAATGAACATTGGCCACTATTCAAGCGACAGGACCTTAAACATCTCTCTATGTTACGAGATGCATCATTACGAGGTACATTCAACACTTACACCAGGAAATCAACAGGTAGCTTTTTATGCTCTACCAGAATATACGCGAAAAGCATGCTCGCATTCTGCTGTACCTCGAATATATTTAAGGTTGCGTTTTCTTTGTTTTCTTTTTTCATTGGTTCTGCCTTGAAACAAACGACCGGGTAGCTTCACAGCAGGGGATACTTCAGGAACATGTGGTTTAAGCTAGCCGTCCTTTTCACTAAGCAAGCTCAGGCGCGTTATTTTTTGTTTACTTTACTGTGCTAAAACGGTCGGAGATAAATGCGTTTCGGCTTAGTTGGTCTCGGCTGCACGTTTGTTGCGGTGCCTCTTTCTCCATATTGTGCTGCATATATTACCGGTTGCATCAGTGGTCCTGGAACGTTTGGCACGAAACAAGGCCAGCCTGGAGTGCTTAGGGAGCACTAAGCACCCGATTGTCAGTTCTGAGAAATGAACATAGCGCTTTCAGAGGCCACGCATGTATGAGGTCGTGCATGACGGCTTGATCTCATCAAGCGCGGAAATTGAAAGAACACGAAGAACCAGACACCTCCCTCCGTATGTCTCGTTCTCAGTGCACTTCCAATTTCGTCTATCTTCAGCAAGCGTTAGGAGAAAACCACCATCTGCCCGGCGCAGCTTACCGGTTCCAATAGGTTAATTTTTGGTTAAAGTTGACTAATTTAGAAGACAGTAGATGGCAGCTGGAGCGTCGGCGCGTACTGCGGGGCTGCGGTGCGCATGCATATGATTGAAAACGCACCAGTATCCTGCCTGTGGTGGTCTGTCCCGAGATGAGTTCCCCTGCCCAGTCCTTGGCCTCCGTCATGAACCCGATTTCGGCGGCCCCTTCCCCGGCCTTGCGCTTGGCGTCGGCGGCGCCCGGGGGTGCTTTCTTGGCGGTTGGCTGCTTTGGCGCCCCGGGACTGTAGGCGCCTGCCTTTTCCTTGCGACAGCAGAGGAAGGCCAGGGCTCGCCAGATCAGGATAATGAAGAGGCCCGCCAGGAAGGTGAAGATGCTGGAGAGCAGGAAGCACCACCACTTCCGCTCCCGCATGCACTCCAGCTCGCCCGGCGACATGTTGGGCGCGGGCGACGTCGCCTCGGCAGAAGCCATCGCTGCTCGTGCTCGTCACGCCGCGCATCAGAAGGCGCACATTCGCGCTGGCGGCCCAGCGGGCTCGCACGCTTCGCTCGTAGCTCCTCGCGGCCGCTGCTCGCTGGCGGCAGCCCGTCGTCGGGATCGGTTCCCTCTTCACTGGCGCCGCAGCGCCACGGGCCCCAGCGCCGCAGCACCGCCAGGCGGCGCGCGTGCGGGAACCGGGGCTAGGGACCTGGGCGCGGACACCTAGGGACAGCTCCGCTCTTCCGACGCCGGAGAAACAAATATCGTACCCACGAGAGCGCCGGCAAATTGGCGCAGGCCAATCTTGAGAGATTGCAGGCCGCTTTTTGCTCTGTTTCGCAGACTCCGGTCGAAGCTCATAATGCCTTTCGTGCGCAAGGACGGTTCGCAAGAACGGCAGCCGGCCAATCGCGATATAAGGAGACCGTGAGCAAGCTCTACAGGGATTACCCGTTCCTTCTTATGGGCTTTTGTATCTCTTGGATGCCTTACACTCGAAGTTCCGATTAACTGCGCGCAGCTTTCCCTCTTCAGAAACAAAAATGATGATGATTCGTTATGTACGTTTACATCACCTAATAGCATACCAGGTTAAGGTAAATTAGTCTGTGCTTAATTAATTGTGTTTAGAAGAAATTCCATGTGCCAATTTCTTGCCAACATAGAGAAAAAAAACATAAGTGGTTACTGAAGCTATATATGAAACCGCGTGTCGCAAGCAAAAATTATTCATCTGGTTCATTGCCACACGTGTACTTTTACATTGCCATTTCGGTGCCTATATGCCAGCCTATATGCAGGGTGCCACCCAATGGTCATGAAGGCTGCACGCGTGAATTGTAATTTTTAAAAGCCAGTCTAAAACTTCTGTTTCACTGTCATCATTACATTCTACAGTCCCCCTTTTTTTAACCTGAACGCCTCTGTTCCAGGCATACTTGTGTCTGGTCACCGGGACAGCCTGAAGACAGCTTCCCAGGACTGTTCATCGCAGGCATTCTCGTTCATATTGCCGCTGTGCTCAGTTAAACGCCATTTATCGACTAGGTATTCGACGCTCGCGCGTTCAGGTTGAAAAAATTGGCAGCTGTACATTCACCTTATTTTTAGTAAAATTCATCAAGTATTTCTAATGCTCCAACTTTTGAGTTAGCGCCTAACCTTCTTTAATCGGCCCAATCTCTCCTGACGCACAATCGTGCTACTGCGCTCGTTCAGGCGAAGCGGTGATTCCGCGCAAAAATTTGTCTCCGTTAGAGTCACTTCTACAATGACTTGTGAGGGTAAGACACGGTGAGTGAGTGACCGGTCCAACTATAAGGCCATCACTTTTCCTGCTTACATTTTACTTGCTTGTTTCAACTTTAGCATAGTGGCCCCGAAAGTAGCACATGTGCTTACGGTGCGGAAAGCGGCACAAGGTAATGAAACTCTGCACTATAAGAATTGTACACATGCTCGTACGCTAGTCGAGCCATTGCGAGTAAAGATGCCTGTGAATGTTTATAGTCGAACTTCTTGTTGGGATTGTTGGTGCGTGCTGCAAGAAAATTTTACCACGCAAACCACCAGGAAAAATAGCCGAAAGAGCATTACTCACAACTGCCCTTGTCTCGAAACTCCGTCGCGGTATACGTATACACAGTGTCACACGTGCGCATCAACCTGCACCACATCACAGCTATTACCCGCTCCCAATGCAAGTGCAAATGAAAAAAAAAACTTCAAAAATTCTCACTCGGCTCTCAAACGATATTCAGCTCCTCCAAGCTGACAAGGAAGGAGGGTGTGTCATCTTGTCATCGAACGCCTTACTTTGACAAGGAACTTGGCTGATGTTAACTAGTTTTGCTTGACTTCCAGGGTGGTTGTTATGCGTCCTCGGTATAGATGTTGGAGATCTGCATTATTCGGTGCCGCATGCGGAATTGTTCGAAGTAGTGAAAACGAGCACTGAAAATAATGGTGTTTTGGTTTCTGAGGGGAGTGCGGGTATCTCCGTTAATAGTTTCATGACCCCATTAGAGTTCCATCTGTGTTCGACGTTTATGACCTTCGATGGGCAGGTTTATCTTCAATGCAACGGGATATGTATCGGCTAGTGTGTGGCACCCGTAATGTGCCGCTTGTTTTTAGCATCTTTTGATAGGAGCGTGAGCTCAGGCTATTGACAATGCTGTCCACATGCATGCAGTGCAGGTATGTGGACGACTTCTTGGGAGTGTCAAATGCTAAACACGGTCAGAAGAGCTCATCTGTTAGGTATGCTGGCCTTGTTCATGCAAAGATCTAATGCCTTATACTGCTGCTCAATCAGAATAATATGAGAGCTATTGCTTTTGTATGTTTGTAAGGTGCGTTGGCTAAGTCTTCCCCTCACAGAGTGCAGGATAGCTTTGGCGACCAGGTAAACCGGCTATATTTGGCTGGATATTCTCGCTTGGTCGTTGCGGCAGTATCTGAATCAGAATGTTAAAGGGAAAGGGAAAAAAATGTCAGCGGTTTGAAAAAAAAATACCAGTAGAGAGAGAGAGAGAGAATAAGGTTGAATGAAAGCCAGGAAGTTTCAACCAAACAAAATTTCCGGTTTGCTACCCTACACTAGAGAAAGGAAAATGGACATAAAAAGGTAAGAAGGCAAAGGGATAGTTAAAGAAAAGAAAATAGAAAACGTGCACACTCTCAAGCATCCATGGTAGTGTCACAGTCGTTCTGCGAGTCCGGTTGACTGCAAAAACTTCCGCAGCGCCTTCGTCGCTTTCTGCCTGGAAGGTTTAACGTTCCGGCAGTCCAAAATTGACTGTTCTGAAAGCACACTACAATCAAGCGGGGCTAATGTTGCCGAAAGCTTTTGTCTTTGGGGGCTACGATGAGGACACTCACAAAGGACGTGGGTAATGGTTTCCTCACTACCACAGTGATCAGACGTAGCACTGTCAGTCAAGCTGATCCGGTAAGCAAAACTGTTCATGAATGACACTCCGAGCCACAAGCGCGAGGGGACGGTCGTTTTGGATCATGATAGTCCGGATGGAATTTGATGGAACTAACGGTGTAGTTGGATATGGTGAAAACCGGTCGTGTTCCACAGTGAGTGTGTCATATTCCGTGCTAGCAAGCTAATATTGAATGCTGCATTGGTTCTTAATAATGAAATGGATTCCTGTATACGCCACTTTTATTATCATTCCTGGCAGAATTATCGGCGTGTTCGCTGCCTTCAAAGGCACAGTGGCAAGGAAGCCACTGGAAAATGATTGCATGCTCTTTGTCTTCCATTTCCTGATAGACTTCTCTTATTTTGAATACTAGTTGGTCTTGTACACCACGACGCAAAGCTGACGACAGTTACTCCAGGGCAGGCTTCACACCTGCTGAAAGAATCTTGACACCTCTTTGGTGCCTCGATCACCCTAAACTTCGTCTGACAGTGCCAGGAATTCGTAAGAAGTCGGAACTCTCGTAGCCAGCTTTAAAGCAGTTGTCCCTGCTGATGGTAAACGAGGAGTACGCAGACTATACTAAACAATATTAACAAATACCGGTAGTTGTCCTATGCGGCCATAAGGTTGCACACAACTTTAAAAAGGTGGCTGACTGGTACAAGGTACTTGTGGTGTTTTCTGGGCCGAGGAAGCTGTCGGGCCTATGCCCACTGATTTCAAGAGGACCCGTGCCTGCCCCATGTGGTAAGAGGCATGCGAGGCCCTGTCACCTGTGCGTTGGAAGTGTTCTATGAAATTCCGCTCTCTTGTGGAAGGGTTTACACCGGCCAGACTGTCTTATGTGTAAACGATCGAGCGAAGGAGCAACAGTATTTCGACAGATTTGTCTTCGGTGGTTCTTCGATCAGCTGAGTTTAAATTTTTGAAAAGTTTGAACTTGCAGTTGCATTGAGAGTGGACGATTGTTGGGATGTGACGCCTGGTGAGTTGTTACCCATGTGTGGCACGTTGCATATATTACAACGGTCTTTCTCGTATGAAAATAGTTACGAGTGCTGCTCTTTCCTTTCGCCTATCTTTCTTAGTAGTTTGCGTCAAAAATTTTCTTGTAATGTTTCTAGTTTTGTAGTAACACCATTACATCATCTTCATCATCATCATTATCATTAGTAGAACTAGTAGCAGTGGCCATAGTCGTGGCAGTAGTTCGTGTGTAGGGGGAGAGTGAATTTTACTATCATCGTTTATTGTTATTGTTTTGCAATTACCGTTTAACAGTCTATTCATTGTATCCGCTGTTAGGCGACATTGCTTTACATGCCTCGCGGCATCTTGGTGGTGTATATTTGCATGGTTCTGTTATAACATTAAATATGTACGAGCTACAAGCTCCATTAGCTCAAGAATGGGTTCGCCTTACCAGGTATTTTCTAGGGCATACAGGCAGACGTTTTTAACAGTGAGAGAAAAAAGAAGACTATATCCCAAAACGGAGCGGCTGTTTGGTCTTGGTGGGTACAGAGGATGGCTCGGCGTATCTGGACTCGGGCAGCGCCCTCGGCCTGCCAGACGGCGAAGCAAGCTGTTTAGCAACAAATCATTCCTTGTTTGCAACCTACCAAAACAATATCATCATAAACGGGTATGCGCTGCAGAAACGGGGTAAATCCCACTACTCACCTTTGGTCCACTAAAAAAGTAGAAGGCACCACTTAGCCAAGCAAATAGCTTCGAAGCGACGCGGGTCAGCCCAAGGCCCCAGATACGTATACAATGAGAGAATACTAGGGAATGTCAAAGGTAACCGTGGCTGCGATGAAACCCCGAGGCTATGAAAGGCCTACGCCAACGTGCCCGTTTCGTGTCTGTGGCTCAACTCTAACCTCTCTGAGCTGAAAATCAACGTAGAAACAACCTAGCAGGCCCTATAGCCGAAGCCTATCAATCACTTAGAAAGAACCTATAAGCAACCATATGTTCAGAATCGTCTACTTTCCCACTTTCAGTGCTTGCGCGACTCAGTGAAAGCCTCGCTAATTCTTACAGCGAAGGTTGTTATCAGATCAAAACTCGGGTCATGCGCGGCACCGTATAGTTGTCCGCCGCCACCAGTGCCGCCGGTGTCCGTAACCACATCGCACGAAATTAAAAAAAAAATCT